TTTTAAAATTGTTTTACAAACCCGTTATAAAATATTAAACAATTTTGAAACCATAAAACTTCTATTTTTTACCTACAAGAAATGCATTTTGGTAATATTTTTAACAGTTTTTGTTTCTTCAATTTGATCAGCTATAAAGACATACCTCAGAATAATATAACCTGTCTTGATTAGGCTTACATAAGTTTTGTGCCCATTTGATGCTAGGACGAAGTCTTTAGCTTTACAGAAAATAACTTCACAAGATTTTTCGCTGTTCCAAACAAATCGCTTTAACAATCCTCCTACACCATCAACTGCTCCTTTACCGAGAAGGGTAGCAAATAAATTCTACGCTATACTTTAAATGACATTTCACAGAGCAATGTTGCATGAATTTGGCCATTTTTTATATGATTAATGAAATAGAGGTCAAAAATTTCACTTAAGTAAGCGTTTTATATGTAAAAAATAGTAATAATAATAATGATATGTTTTATATCATTGTTATTATTTTTATTATAACAACTTATAAAGTGGTATTATAGTAGTGGCGTGCTTTGTTTTATCACTATCGTCGGATAAATTACAAATGATTACAAATGATTTTGGCTTAAATTGGTAACGGTAGGTTACAACTGTAAAGAAAGTAATTGCTGGTTGCGGCCAATAAGCAACCTGAACAGCATAATGCGACCAATTAGCATCCTGATAACCACATTTATAGTTTTGTGAATAAGGGATTGTCCATAAAGTACGTGGTCTGCAAATGGCGTATATGAGATGGGAGGGCAGTGGGTTAATTATAAAAGAAAGGAAACGTAACTTTTGTCAAAACGTATCCAACAGGATACGTTTTGACAAAAGATTACGGCAAAAAAAGACTTTGTAATCCTCCATCTGTGTTTAAGTGTGTAAAACCAAGTTTATTACCTAAACCATCTGGCTGTCCCAGAACAACTTCAAGATCATATGCAGAAAATATAGAAATATTCAATCTGACGAGTTGTCTGATTTCAATTTAAAAGATGTTTTAAAATCTTTTAATGAACTGAAAACAAACATAGGAAACTATCAATTTAATTGATATAAATAATCGAATTGATATATTTAATTATATATATATTTATATATATATATATATATATATTTAATTATATATATATATATATATTTAATTTTATATATATATATATATTTAATTATATATATATATATATATATATATATATATATATATATATATATATATATATATATATATATATGTATATGTATATATATATGTATATATATATATATATATATGTATATATATATATGTATATATATATATGTATATATATTTAATTATATATATATATATATATATATATATATATATATATATATATATATATATATATATATATATATATATATGTATATGTATATATGCATCTTTTTATAAAAATGCACCAGAACAAAATTCAAGAAAAAGCTTAGCTCTTAACAAGCTAAACGAGTTAAAATACATTTTTATAGAAAAATTAAATTTAAGCAACGACCAAAAGAAGGTCAAAGTATAAAGAAAGTAGTAATAATAATAAAGAAAGTTTTTTTTAAATTTGTACAGTTAGAAATTTTCAAAATTTATTTTTAAAAAATAAACAAACCACTCAATGTTACAAATAAAAGTTTTAGCCAAAACACAAATTAAATTTATTTACTAATACAAAAAAGGCATTTATTTATTGATTTAGATCAGTAATATGGTTGCAACATTAATTTTTTACAAAAATAAACTAAAAATAACAGTTGCTATATAAAAAATATTATGTAGTTAAGAGCCGCAGCCATTTTAAAACTCTGAAATTTTTATAAACTTCTGGCACATGCGCACCTAAACTTAACGCTTGTAAACGACCGTGTTAATACTAAAACAGAAAATCAAGTTTTGATACAATTGTTAGAGTTCATAACACAGGTGTTACATTGTTTGTTCTAAAAATAAATAATAATTTTCAGTATGAATCTTTTCATTTTCAAATGTTTGTCAAATAATGGAGTCAAAAGTTTGTCAAATAATGGAGTCAAATATTTAATAAAAACACTCTCACACAACAAAACTACCATATTGAATAGATAGAAGCAGTTCGATTTTTAAACTCATATGAGATTAGCAAAAAAAAAAAATTTTATTTAAAAGCAACTTTTTTTCAATGAGCAATAAACGTATTACAGATATAAAGTACTCTTTTGAAACAATGATTAGAGCATTTGAGTAACTTGCAATGTCACGTGCTACATATAATCGTCTTCAAGAAGACTTTGAATTTCCTAGTATTACAACATTAACAAGACTTACATCAAAAGTAAAATCTATTCATGAGGATATTTATCTACAAAAGGTTTTTTCAAACTTAACAGACATTAGACAGAAAAACTGCATTCTTCAATTAAGATGAAGTTTATGCTAAAACAATGTTGCAGTACCATGGGGGAACAGTTTTTGGAAAAGCAGTTAATAACCCTAATGTTCTTGTGAATACTGTTTTAAGTATTATGGCTATTACTTTGTTTAGTGGACTCAAATTTTTATGTAAAATGTTTCCTGTGAATGAAATCGATTAAAATTTTCTTTTTGAACAAACTACTTTTTTATCTCCCATAAAAGCAAAAGGCGGCCATTTATTTCTATAATTCGTGATGGCAGCAGGGTAAATCAAGCCTTTTTCAGGAAATTTTAGACAGATAGCGTACTTTGCGATTTTTACTTAGCGACTGAAAAGTTTTAAAAACTTGAATTTTTTATTAATAAGGTAAAAAAGTTGCTAAATGGTTTCATATTGTAGAATTGCATAAGTTAAAGTCAAATCAAATAATTAAAATGTCTAAACTAACGGATCTTGCTGTGTTCCCAAAACCATTTTAAAGGCAAAATGTTTCAACTTATCTAAAAGTTTCGAAGAAAATGTTTGTGCCTTAAAATGTCACCCAGAGTTAAAAATTGTTGATGAGACTCTTCTCTTTCAATAATAATTAAATTTTGGAGAATTGCGAATATTCATAGCCTTTATGCAAATGTACATATGTGTGATCCAAATCGGGCTGCTATTTTCTCTTCTAATGATTTTAATCTTCAAAAGCTGTTAAAATTCGGAAACATGTGCTCTTCTCAAATTGTTCATTTTAAAAGCTTCACTAAAGATATTTCTAAAAGTATCTATCATACTTTTAATGGAGTTGTAAAAGTTCTTCTTGTCTACAAGTCATAAATGCTTATGACTTTTTGCTTGGAACATTTAAATCTGATCCTTTAGAAAAGCAGTTTGGAAAACTAAGACAAGGATCATTAGGTACATATTTTATCACTGTACACCAAAATTTGAGAAAGTGGGTCATAAAAACAAAACTTCTTTTATCATTAGAAAAATATGGTGTTGATATAATATATACTATATATATATATATATATATATATATATATGTATATATATATATATATATATATATATATATATATATATATATATATATATATATTTATATGTATATATATATATATATATATTTATATATATTTATATGTATATATATATATATATATACATATAAATATATATAAATATATATATATATTTATATATATTTATATAAAATATGGTGTTGATATAATATATACTATATATATATATACATATATATATATATATATATATATATATATATATATATATATATATATATATATATATATATAATATATATATATGTATATATGTATATGTATATAATATATATGTATATATTATATTATTTAGTATATATACTCTAATTTACATAGCAGGTTATATGGTTCGAAATGACGAAGATTAAGATGACTCATGTTTTTATTATGAGAAATTGAGTGATTTTATTGAGGAAAATAAACGCGGAGGATTAACTGTACCTGGTGATTTAGTATGCCAATGGGTAATATAAAATTCTGTATTATGTTTCGTGAAGTGATACTACATGCATATCTTTTTTTTGTAATCTAATGATGCTTGTATTAAAATCCTATTGATAAAATACGAACAGAAATAATAATGTTACACTTTCAATTATTTTCTTTAAAAACTGTTGCAATTTAAATTTTCCAAGGTCTGAAAAAGAACCAAAACATAAACTTTTAAAACTTAGTAGGTGCGTAAAAGTTAAAAACCATTTATTTATTAAAGTATTATATATGGATCAAAACAACTTTGAATTTGTATTAAAATGGTAAAAATTTTATGAAAAAGGATTTTTTGTGACTTAAGTACTTTTAGCACTAAGCTCTTCAACTTTTTTATAAACTTCATATTAAGTGAATGGACTACTACAAAAATAAATGAATAAAAATTACAAAGTTTTTTTCAGGAAATTCAATCTATGCTCTAAAATTTGACATCAGAAAATTAAAGGTGTAACTATGTCTTACGTTAAACAATAACCGTTGAACAAAGAAATACTAGGAACCCATTTTCCGCGGAAGGATTATTAATAAAAAATTGATATAACTGATTCGTAGATGATGCATAATCTTCTCTTCATTATTCACATTAAAAATCTGAGTAAAGAAAAATTGAAAATAACTTCAATTTTAGTCAAACTAAAAAAAATTTAGCTCAATAAATTTTTAAAAGTAGTAATTTCAAATATTCTTTTTGCCAAAATTTAACAATAAAATTTTTTAATTTTTTGGATGGTTTCCTTAAATGTGTATGGTCAGCTGAACAATATTCTACAGTTAAACTTGTAACAATTATTGTCCAAGCAAGAGATTTGAAACGGGCCCGTCTCACCCTAGGGTCCCGTTTTAGGCCACTTTCCTCTAAATCATTCAACAATATTAGATTCATTGTTTAGAAAATGCGTAAGTCAATTAAACAAAGACTTAATTTTATGCGGTAGATTTTTGGAAACAAAAGAAATTCGGAATGTATTAAGCAAATATAAACTAAAATAAAAAAAATAAAATCAGTTTTAACTATTATACATAGAATGAATAATAATTATTCCAATACTTTTAAGTAATATTATTAACTAGTAAGTATCCAAAGTTATACACATTTATTTTTTATTTACACGTATAGAAAAATATTTCAAATATAATTTTAAAAAATGTTATCACTATTTGCAAGAGTTTAAAAATTGTTCTAAATATTCGTTTTTATTTTTTACGGATCATTTTTTTAAAGCTATTCATAAAACCCTTTTTAGCATGTTTTTCACAGTTTTGATTGTCTATATAAATGTTTTCTGATTGATTGTTACTAAATATTGGGGACAGTTTTTCAAAGCTAAAGCTTTTTGTATGAATGTTATTGGATTCATCTATAGTGTTGCTTGACTGGAATAACTTAGAATTACGGTTGTCTCGATTGTCTGTATATTCGTTTTTCATTTCATTCTTGCCGCAACTTAATGGTTTTTCACAAATTATATTATTCACATCTTTTGATTCGTCGTTGTAATAATTTAGAAACGGTTTTTTGATAGAATCATTGTTTAAGTATTTAGTCGAATGTCTAAGATGGGGCGAAGGCAACTCTGATTCTTGAATTACAGACTGCGCTATTTTTAAATTTGAGTGAGAATGTTTTTCAGGTGAACCATTATGCAATCTTGAATTGGATAGGTGAAGTTTAAGGGAAGATATTGATTGTTTCTTTTTTTCTTTAATATTAGAATTGTCTATGTTCAATTCATTACAAGAATTGGCTTTTTGAATTTTAGCCTTATTTAAAATAGATCGTAATACAGGTCCTGCGCTTCCCCTTAAGTGACCTCGTTTGAATTTTTGGGTACTATCCTGCAATTTTATTGAATCCGATGATTGAGATGATGATACAGATATTTTGTGTTCTATATTTTCTTTTGAATACTTTGAAGAAACCTCAATATCTACTGTAAGATGTAACTTAATATCAGGGTTGTTGTCTAATGCGTGCAGTGGTTTCATTTGGTGTGGTATACCAACACCATTTTTTCGATTTAAATTTTGGCTGCGGTCCCTTATATCGTCTGTATGATCGTACTGGCTCTCAAAGCTATCACTAATACTCAAAAATCGGGCCGATTCACTTCTGGGTTTGGATTCTGCTCCATTATCACCTACAACTTCATCTTTTGTTGACCATAAGTTTGAAAATACTGCTCCAAGAGAGCGACGCCAGCTAAAACGATGAGTGATATTTTTAAAGCATATTTATAAACTATTCTATTATACTTTACTTAAAAAGCTTTAAATTTAGTTTATAAAATAATATTATAAAGCTTTAAATATAATTACAAATATAATTGTTTTATTTTAAAACTTACTAATTTATTAATGATATTAAAATTTTTATGTATTAATGTATAATGTAATATTAATGTCTTAATGATACTAAAAATTTCAAAACTTATTAAAGTATTAATGATACTAAAAATATATATTTATAGTTTACATACGATTTTCTCGTAATAGAACTCCTTGGAAAAGCTTGTGATTCTTTGCGTCTTCGAATATTATTCCCATTTGATAGTCGCCCTTCTTCGCTTCGACAAGAATTTTGTGAGACGGAACATTGGCTGCTGTCAAGAGATTGATTACCGCCATTTGTCTCATCTTCTTGGGTTTCGTCTTTTCGCTCACTGAAACTACAATAACCCAAATCTGCATCGCTTAAAACTTTGCTTTCTACAACGGCCTCTTGGTTTTTTGAAAATTTTCTGCAAGAAAATAAACTATTGAAAGTCATTTTCTAGAAAAAACCAGAGACAGTCGCAAAAAGTAACAATTTTAAAAAGTTATGATTTTTTTTATATGTTATATTTCTTATCTACATGTGGTAAGTAAAATAAATAAATTATTCTAAACAAAAAAGGTTTTTGTAAGAAAAGTAGCAGTAAAGGATTACTTTTATGATTACTATTCCTAAACTTTATATTTAAGTAGAAATATTTTTTTAACGATGTTTAATTTATAATAACTGTTAAACTATCATTTAAAGAATTAATTTAAACAATTTAAACAATCCTTAAATCATTTAAACAATTAATTCCGCGGTGCTCAGTGATAAGACCGTAAGGACTCCTTGGGGCACCTAAATCAACTTGAAAAAAAAAATTAAAATATTATAATTTAAACTATAGCTATATTTGATTTTAAAAATGTTAACTCTAACAGTCCCGTGTTGTTATTTTTTTCAAATACGGTCGCTATTAGTCCAGCTTTTTTTTGAAGTCTCTAAATATCCGTGTTTTTAAAATCATCGTATTTTTTTACTAATAGAAAAAAAAAGTATTTTACTTTTTCTTAAATTATTAAACAAAACAAAATGTTATTATTAAAGTTTAAGAATATATAAATCATACTACTTAAGCAAAAGTATAATTACTGATGAACAAGAAGGAAATGTAAGGAAAAGCATAAATCCGTAATATTACGGCATGGACATTTGGAAAGCACTTTAAGCCCGGCTGTTTCACTCGATATAAAAGCGAGCTTGACGTCACAAGAATTTTTGTGTTTAAAAAAAAAAAATTTCCGCATAAAAAGTATAAAAAATTCACTAACTTTAAATTAATAGCAATTTTTTTTACTTTAAACGAAGTAAAAAAAAATATTGTTAAAATATTTTAAATGATTTTGGATCACTTTTCTGTTTTTGGTGCTGTTTACGGAAAACCTGTCTTGGGCCAACCAAGATTCGCTAACATAGTACATGGTTAATGGTTAAAATTTGGAACACTTATCAATGAATATCTATTCTATCAGATTCCTACGTCATCCTGGTGATTTTTTTACTATAACTCAATTTTTAATGCATTTATACATTTAAATTTATCTCTTTTAAATGTAAAATATAATTTTATTGATGGATGACGTAACTTATTGAAATTTCGACCTTTTATTCAGATGAAAATTTAAAAATTATTTTATGTAAATTTTGCTATGTTAGCGAAAATGTTTTCAAGCTTGGCATGTTTATAGTTTTTTGCGTAAATTTTTTTAAAGCAATGACGTAAAACATTAAACTTTAAAACATTTTCTCTAATATTTTTTTGCGATTTAGTTTTATGACTTAGTTATCTCTGTTTCAATTAACGTAAAGATTGAGTAATATTTTTTTTGTTTTTAAAATAGTCTAATAATGTTTATAACTTGTTAATAAATATTAGAAATATATATTTTTAATTTTTTTGTTGATGAAAAGTAAAGGTTCAGCCAATTTCATCATCTGTCGCGTTTTTTCTAAACTAAAAGAGGATTTTTTAATATTATATTAAATTTCATATGATAAAACATTTTATTGTTGTTACATAAAGTTATCAGTGCCTCGGGTTTCGAAGTGGAGGCACAATCGTTAATTTTTTAAAAAAGTCCTCTATATCTAGAATTTTCTTAAAAAAAAAAAATCATTAGAAAAAAAGTGGAGGAGGAGCAAGTGCCCCCGCTATTTTCGATTAGAATGGCGTCTTAAACACCAATCAGTTAAAATGCACGCTCCTTTATTTGAATAAAAAATGAATAATGGAGAATTCAACGGTGTCTTATTAAAAAGTTGATATCTTTTATGCTTTTATTTAATGCATAAAGCTTATTGTATAATGATAATTGGAAATTTGTTTATTGTTATATGCATAATGTTTATTGGCTATTGTTTATATTATAAAATGTTTATTATATATTTTATTGTATATTATCTTAAAACCATGAGGACTTTTAATGTTATTTTAATAAAAAAAAACAATTTTTTCTTTTTTTTTCTTTAGCTATATATAAATATCTTTTTTTAAATTTGAAAGAATATATTAAACTTTACTAATTTAGTAAAGTTTAATACATTCTTTAGTAAAGTATGTTAATTTAAAAACAAATTTCAAAACTTTACGAAATTTATCTATGAAAGATGTTTCAACTAAGTATAAAACTTATCTTTAAAAAGCATAACTTTTTGATTTTATTTATTTTTTATTAATTTTAATTTTTTAGTTTAAAACTTTTGTCTAGTTTTTTTAAAATATTTAAAGTAATAATACATGTATTAACCTTGTTTCTTCAGCATAGATTCTCTGTTTTCTATTTTTTTTTGAAGTTAGTTGTCTGGTCATTTTTTTTCTTCTTCTTTCGTTTGCCGAATAAAACTCCATAGAACTGTGTATGGAGCTGTTTAACAATGATATCATTGCTTCCATCTCCTTTTTTGCTTGAGCGATGTGATACATATCGGGATGGTCTTCTTCAGTGTATTTTAAAAGTTCCTTTATAAAAAAGAGCTTGAAATTTAACAGCGAAAAACTACGTGATCGAAATATAACATATTGTAAATATACTAACCCTAAGTAATAATACATATCTTGGAAGTCTTTGTACAGGCGATAAAAGGAACGACGGTAAATCTAGTCTTTCAACAAGCGGGTTTTCATTGCAGTCCTGAAACATTTATATTAAACCATAGTTTGTAAAACCCGTTCAAAAAATTAGAAAAGCATAATAATTTTATAAGTATATAGGTTAATACAATTATAAAAGTAATTAACTATAATTAAACATTACCAAAAGAAATTTTCGAAACTTTTGAGAAGATCTGGTACATTTACTTAGTGTACTTATTGATTTTGGAAACAGTTGTACATAGTTCATGTAGATTTCAGACAAGTTTGCATTGGCTGAAGTCATTTTTGCAAATATATCACCAATTATTCCTCGCCAGTTTACGTTATTCATTCTGTCTTGTAACTCGTGCATAAAGAACGTGTGAGATACAAGAATTTGATTCAGTTGCGTCGGAAACAACGAACACAAGTCTTTTCTTGTAATTATATTGAGTTCTTCGAGTTGTTTTTTAAAGACCTAAAAAGAGTTTGAAGAGTAATAAAAAAAAATTATTTCATGCAATATTGTAAGAGTTATTTTATGCAATATATTGTAAGAGTTAATTAACTAACTTTAAAACATAGAAACTAGAACTCTCAACAGTTTTTGTATACTTCTCTTAAAATTATAGTATTTAAATAATGAAGGGCGTAGGATAATGAGGGGTGTAGGGTAATGAAGGGCGTAGGGTAACGAAGGGCAAAATGAGCACTAGTTTATCTAATACTCGTGTAATAAGTTTTGAAAAGAGAACACGATAATTTTAAAAAAGTCTTCTAACATCCTACCACAGTCAAAAAGATATATGTTGTAAAACTGCAATGTTACTATATTATTTATTGACGACACATACACTGCGATGTTACTTTATTATTTACTGACGACACATAGACTGTTATTTTGACCCACATGGCAAAATAAGACAAATTATTTTTAAGAATTATTCTAAGGTAAAGATAAATTTAAATATATTAGGAAAATGTAACAAGTATAAGTAAACAATTTATTAAACATTTTAGTATGTTGGATAACAACTGAACGCAGTAAATATTGCATATTTACAATAAATAAACTTATTAGACATCGGCAAAAAAAAAAATTAAATTTCTCATTTTCTTCCGCAACATGTCAACATCAAAATTGCCTAGTTTTCAGACAACTTTATTAAACAAATTAATTTTTTTAAAGACTATAAAAATATAGTTGTACTTAATTTATAATTATATTTAACATAATCATAATATATATCAATCACATTGTAAGGGCTTCGTGATAAGATCATTACAATTTTCTTGAAGTCCGGCCCGTACTATTTAATTATAAACTTCACTATATATTTTGACTCACGAGGCTTGTAAATATTACGCCTTTAATTTACGAAACTTGTAAATGTTATATGTACGGCAAATATAAGAATAAAAGTTATATAAAAAAAAGTTATAATTTTTATGGTATTGATAGAATAATGCTTAATGATGAAAATAACAGACAAATTTTGAATATATAAGTTATTATACACTCAGTGAGATCAAAAAAGGCTCAAAATAACATAAAAACAAAACTTCAAAGTTCATAACTGTCATATTCCCGAGGTATGAAAAGATGACTCTCTTCATTTTTTTATTTTAAAGTAACTCATAACTCGTAAAATTATTCTTAACTTGTAAAGTAACGCGTAATATTTTTTTTAACACTAAATGGTTTTAGAATATAACTACACTTTTAAAACAATAAATTTAGGGACAAGCATAATAATAAATGCAATCTCATTTTGCATCCAAACATATAATGCCCTGCATTGCCCTACTATATATCACATTTACTACTGTGTTGTGTGTATATATATATATATATATATATATATATATATATATATATATATATATATATTTATGTATATATATATATATATATATATATATATATATATATATATATATATATATATATATATATATATATATATATATATATATATATATATATATATATATATATATATATATATATATATATATATATATATATATATATATATATATATATATATATATATATATATATATAATTCAATCGGTTAAAGTTTTGTTTTGAGGACCTTTTTTCTTTTTTTTAGAAACTAGTCGGTACTTTTTGAGAAAGTCGGTACTTTTTGAAAGTTGCTATGTTTGTTCTTAAACTTTTGCTTTATTGATAAAATGGAGGTTGTGGATTGGCTGAAGCTAGTCACATAGCCTGCCTATGAATTGTTGTATGTGACATAGGCCTTTTTTCCCTTTTACAGCCTGGACTTGCACCCTTTTTCCCCTGTATGTCTTTTCTTTGGGTGTTTCTGTAGCATTACAAAGGCCTTTTTTGGGTTGAATTTTACTTTTTTGCTAACCTTTAGGCTTATTTTTATATAGTAGGGGACATCAACTCAAATAATTGGAAAATGTGACATGTGCCCTTTTTTTCTGTGGTCTTCATGTATAAACGTCTTTACTTCTAACAAGGCTGCAAGCAATTATTTGAGTTCCGGTATTAGAGTCCACTATTAGAGTTAAAAGTTGCTAGAAGAGAAAAGATGAAGTTTATAAAGAAAGATAATGATTAACAGACAACTTGAAAGATTGAAAATTATATGAATCAGGAAAACAAGAAAAAGGGAGCAAAGTCCGAAGAACCGATGTCCGAGGAAAAAAACTAGACAAATAAAAATTTTTGGAGCACTTAGGAACAGTAAAAGAATGAAACTTTATAGATTGACAAGTAACACGAGAATGAATTTTAGTAGATGGTACAAGAGACTATCTTTTTAGAGCAGCACCCATTATAGTATTTATAGAAAAGAGAAAGAGAAGCAACATTACGACGATGTGACAATGGTTGAAAGTTGGCAGTAAATACAGGTCCAACTATGTTTACAATGTTTTTTTGTATCTTTTCAAAAAGAGAAAGGCATCATTCGAAGATCGGCTTCAATTATAGCGATTCAATTTTGCATTGCTTTGATATAAAATGGTGGAAACCTGAGTTCTCTTTGGTGAGTAAATATTTTATTTATACAAATATATCATAAGCGTAATGCATAGTGTACCTATGCATTACGCCTATTATTGCAGGTAAATGTTACACACAAATGTGCAACATTTACCTGCAATGACTACACGCAACAACGTGCAGCATGTACGTGCAAAACTGTAAACAACACGCTTATGTTAAAGCATGGCCATTTGATCAAAAGTTCAAATATAATTTTTGTTGCACTTTTTATTTAATTTTTTTTCATATAGTCATCCACCCTTAGTTGAAGATCTCACAAATTTACTTAGTAAATCACATAGCTGAAGTTTTCACAAAACTCTTCTGTAACTTTCAAAGTTCTAAATCTTAGTTTCAACTGTAAATTATGTTTTATTTCCACAGATCTGCAAATTATGTTTTATTTCCACAGATCTGCAAATTGTGTTTTGTTTCAACAAATCTGCAAATTATGCTTTATTTCCACAGATCTGCAAGTTGTGTTTTATTTCAACAGATCTGCAAATTGTGTTTTATTTCTATAGATCTGCAAATTGTGTTTTATTCCAACAGATCTGCAAATTGTGTTTTATTTCAACAGATCTTGATGATTTGAAATGCTTTAAATGTATTTCTGGCACAATTTTAAAAGTTAGTTGTTTTCATGCTGCTCAAAAATAATAATTACTAATAACTAGTTTGAGATAAAAAGTTATACGGAAAGGAATTTTTAAAAAAGCACTCAATTTTTTTACCCCATTTTTAATAAAATTTATTGAAAAAATTTTATAGTTGTTTACTCTTTATCAGTTTTCTGTTTTATATTTTAAAAAACAGTTTGGTGAAAAAATTTTTATAATAAGTTTAACTGTTTCCATTCTTTTTTGGATTCTAATTCTTTTCTAGGTTATATTCTGTTTAGGTCTAAGTTTTCCTTCGAGTAAAAAAAAATCAATAATTGGAGAATTTTACGGCAAAAAATAATCTTTAATTGATGAATAATTATGCATTCTTGAATATTAAAACTGGTAAATTAATAAAAAGAACTATTAACTGAAAAACTAAAAAAAAAAAAGTAACTGTAAACAATAGCGATATACATTTTTAGGTCAATATTTTATTTTCAAAATCTTATTTTGTATATATATATATATATATATATATATATATATATATATATATATATATATATATATATATATATATATATATATATATATATATATATATATATATTTCTTTACTTTGAGGTTTATTTTTATAATTTAAGACTTAATTTTGCAAATATGCAACTTTTTTTGTAATTATTTTATAATTATTAGAAAGTGTTCATTATCAGTTCGTGAGGTTAGAAGGATCTCCTATCTCCATACTGTATTATGTACCTCAGAAAAATACTTTTCTACTGTATTGAAACTTAAGTTATAAGTGAAAAAATTTGCGGAGAAAACATAATAAAAATCTTTTATATGTGGTCTTCTAAAGTTTTTGATTTTTTTAAAAAAGAGAGGTAATTAAAATAGAACTTAAAAATTATAAAATAAATTACTTAGCTTAATTATGTTTATAAAATATATAAGTACTTTAATTATTAGAAATGAGAATTAAAAATTTTACCGAATCTAATGTTTGCAAACATGATATGTAATTTTTTTCGGTTTCTAATATCTCCTCCATTACACGTTGTCTTTTAACTTCTTTTCGTTCTTTTTCATACTTCTCCGCTTGTAAAACATCGTCAAACGGCTCTTCAAAATCCTTTTCATCAAAGCTATAGGTTGGCGGAGAAGGCACAATCAAGTTTGCAAGAAGCTCGTCTTTAGCTAATTCGTGCAACTTTTGTTTGCTTGCTGATGGAAAGGCTGAAAGCAAAATATCAAATACTTGATCCTGTGATTCTGTAATAATCATTGTTTTTTTTTTACTTCAGATACATTCGTGATTCCTATGGTCCTAGTGATTCTGATGGTCCTAGTTAACATTTTATAGATAATTTATGGTTGTAGACAATTTTTAAATAAAACACGGTGCACATTATAGATAAAATACGATTAAAGATTCCTTTAAAAAAAATTATTTGAATAAATGAATCAGACGTTATCCAAACCGCGATTTGAATTAGACATTTTTAAAATATAATTAAAGTTTCCATTTCATCGACTTGTTAGAAATATGTCTGAAGCAATTATATGGTATATAAAAATGGCTTCAATAAACAGTTAGTTTTTTGATTAAATAATTTGAATAAATAGTTATTTATAAGCTCTATTTAATTGCATGAAAAAAAAAAAAAAAAAAAAAAAAAAAAAATTAAAGATGTTTAGATACTAACGGATTATTGTATGTATGCAATGAATAAATAAAAATAGCGATATAAAATATAGTAAATAAATGTATCAATAAAATTAATTTAATATGAATAAAAATTAAAGTTTTATAACAATATATACTAAGTTAACCGTAATTATTATCTAATAATAAATTAATATATGACTAAATATAAATAAAAATAAATTCTATTAAACTGAATTACTGCTAAAATATAAATTAAAATTGCATTAATAGTATTTAAAAAAAAGAATAGCCCAATGAATAGATGACGCAACATGACTTATTTTTCTAAAATACGTCTAAAATACGTTTTCGTACGAATGTATTTGTGTGTGTTTATTTTCATGTTTTATGTTTAGGTGTTTTTTAAAAAAAGTAAATTATAATAAAATTTGAAAAATAAATGGTATATATTCATGTAATAAATAAAATATAAGGTCGTATTATAAAATTAATTTAAAAGAAGCATACATGCTGTAGCTGATTGTCTTCTTTTTCCATTCCGCGCGGTGCTATTTTTACGGTAACACTTTTCTTGTAAAACGTTTGGATCGAGCAAGAAAGGCTAAGAAACATAACTTACAGTCATTATGTCAATGAAATACATTGCGTGATATTTTTGAAGATGTAATATTAATAAAACTTCTTAAAAATAAATTAAACAAAAGTTATATCACGTTTTGAACTTTTTCGTCTACATTAGATCATTAACGTTTTATTGTTGTCATATTTTATCGTTTTACAATCGTTTATTTTGATTATGTCATTTTATATTTAAAGGCAAAGTTTTATGGTATAATTATTTGAAACTTGAATAAAATTTTGATTGGAATGTTGATCAATGACGGAAGAAACACATAACTCTTTTTTTTAATATTTTATTCTTTCTGCGGTAAATAAAAAATACTTTTAAAAAAGCACACCACATCCGCACTACTGCTGATAAAACCATTGGATGAAAAACTTATATCTGCAAACCGTTTAAATCAAAAATGGCCCAGATGTCGGCAATTTTCTCGGGATTTAAATAACTTTAGACAAAACAAACTATTCAAAGATAGTTAGAGGGGTATTTAATCTTACACTATAATTTTCAACCATGGCTATTTGAATACAAACTTAATTGAGAATAGGAAATTTTTTATATTAAAAAACCCTATCAATAAAGTGTTTTAAGCATAAACTTATAAGTATAAACTTACAAATTCTCATTAAAAAAATATCGACTATGGGTCTTAGTGAATAAAGTCATCACATTTTATATAAAAAAAAGCGAAGAAAACTAGAATAAAAAAGCATTAAAAAAACATTGAAAACAAACTTACCTCGCTGCATCTGCGAATTAATTTTCTTTGTGTGTTAATGTTTGAAGGTTTTCTACCAAGAGCAACCTTTAAAAAAAATTAGAAAAAGAAATTAGAAAAAGTCAAAACAATTAGCAGTAATAATTATTTCACCGATTTTTTTGGAAGAGTAAGAAGGATTACTTAGTTATAAATAAAAATTATTAAAACTCATCATGCCAAATATTAATTCAAGTGTTTTTGTTGTTCTCAGACTAATGCAAGGCATTTTATTTTAATGTTACCATCAACATACCCAAATTTAATGTTTGCTCCGAGTTATCTTTCTCAAAAATTACAATAAGCACTTTAAGCAAAATATATATATATATATATATATATATATATATATATATATATATATATATATATATTTTAATACACACATGTATGTATATGTAAATATATATATATATATATATATATATATATATATATATATATATATATATATATATATATATATATATATATATATATATATATGCATATATATATATATATATATATATATATATATATATATATATATATATATATATATATATATATATATATATATATATATATGTATAATATATATATATATATATATATATATATATGCAGCAATTTCAACAAGACTCTTAAACTCTTAAAAAAGCATCATAATAATAAAAAAAAAGTTTTTAGCTACCTGCAGAAATTTCATTTCGTCCTCATTTTTGTTTTAAGTGAAAATTTTGTACACTGTTTTCTCATTTATAGACTAAGTTTTATTAATATATATTTTTTGAAAAATACAACTTGCTATTATAAATTTGCACAATAACATCAGTAATTTTCAATTCATAAAAAGTATCAGACGAACATTATTCACTCCTGAATACCATGAATATTGAGGCCACCCCATTTCGTTGAAATATTGATGCAAATTATATTATTGCTATTCAAATTGTGTTCAACTTTCAGTTAAGTCACTGAATAGCAAAAAACATGAATTTAATTCAACATACATGACCGCAAACATTCTATTTTTCGAAAAAGTTTAGAAAAATTTACAAATAACTTTGCTGCGGGAAAATTAAATTTCAAACTTTTTCTACCCGTTATTTATAAATCATTTATATAAATTTTGACTATACTGGGTACACTACTAAAAACACTACTAAGCACACTAGTCAGTTAATATTTGTGGGATAATAATATTGATGATGATTGATGGTAATGTTAAATGATGCAGAAATTTCTGCACATTATTTAACAAAAATTAGTTTACTAAGGCTCAAAGCTTAACGAGTCTCCTGAGTAATAGTCCTATTTCAGTTATATTAAAGTTGTATATGCCCTCAACAAACTTGTCATTGTATGCATATTACAGATGATCTTTATCACCTATCAAGTTTCAAAAGCGGCAAAGAAAGAAAGAGTTACTGCCAATTTCTAATTCACAGAAATAAATTTTGTTAACAGCAGTGGTTACTGAAGGTATGGAAGATCTAAACTAAGTAGAGATTGTGTCAGAAAATTGAGATTATTTAATAATAATGCTGATTAAAATACAATCTTTATAAACCCACACACTAAAATTTAAATTGAATATGGTTTTACTCGATTGTTGATACTATTTTGGCAAAAGATTGTTAAATGAGACTCAAAACCTTTTGATAAATAAAAATTTACATTAAAATTAAAAAAAAAAAAAATTAGTTATCATCTAAGACAATATTTATAAACATTTTTATTTAAAATAATAATTAAGATCTAATTTATAATAAATCTGCAGTTAACTTAATAAGTAATAGGCTTAATAATATATATTAAAATTAATTGGTTATTCAATTAAAAAATATGCTTCAAATAGTTATTATTCATGCGCTTGCAACGTTGTATTGTTCTTTATTTTACTTTGTTTTGTTTTAGCATCCAAAGTTATTATATTCTCTGAGTTTTTTGAGAACATTTCAATTTTAGACAAAAAGATTTCTTACCTTTAATTTCTGGGAACAAAAAATAGTGTTTTGTCTTCCTAACGTTCTCGATGTTTGTGTTCCTAAGTCGTGAGCATATGTAAAAGTTTTGCTTCTTATTAGACTTTCGCTATTTTTAAAATCGTTTAAAGTTATACTTGTAGCTGTTGGGCATCTCTTTAAAGGAAGACGTGCTCTAAACGCATTCCGTTTAGCTAGGGCAATTTTAGAAGTGTTCGATCTACATAAAGCGCGTGGACGAAATTCTTTACTTACTGGAAACTTTAAACTTTCCCGAAGCAAAGAACTTGTTTTAGTTTGTAAGTTCAGAGAATTGGTTCTGAATTGAAAATGAGGTTGCGTTTCTAAATTATTTTGAGTTCCTTCGGACAGTGATTTTGTTGATGAACGTGACTTATTTAGAGAGTCGGAGTTTTCCATATTGATATATTAGTCTGTTGTTTATGAAGTCTTCTGATCTTTCATCTTAAACAATTCTTCAACTAATTTACAAAATCTGATGAAATGTTTGTTCAAAACTTTTTAAATCTTTTTTTCGATACGTTAAAAAATTTTTAAAAGTACATTTTTTTTTAAATTTAAAACATGACGATGTACGAAGTAAAAATTTTTTACTTCGTAAAACTGCTTTATTTCATGTTTCGCAAAATTTATTCAAAAGCAAATAAAGTACGAATGTTACGGATAAATATTTACTTAAATCTTAAATACATATTTTAAAGCAAAGGTCATATCAAAATCATTTACATTTTTTAAAAATATTTTGTATTAAGGTAATTTTTATATAAATAATGTAATTTTTTATAAATTAAATTAATGTTTTATAAAAAATAGAATACTTTCACAATTTACAAAACGTACTCAATGCTTTTACAGAATAATTTTATTAAATAATAAAATTCAGAATCATTTTCACTTACCTATTTTAAGTTTAGCGCAATTTCATCAAAATAAGATTCCCTATTGTAAGGAGTAAATAGTTTTAAACTTTTTACTATATGTTGTGATAAAAGAAGTTTCGACAATTTTTTTATTTCTACAACTAATAATTTTAATTATTTTATTTTTTCTATTTTTGTTATTTTGCTCGCAAAAACGAGTCTGAAAAAAACTTAAAAAATCATAATTAAAAATTTTTATTTATTCTTGTATCTATACAACTTAAAACCAATAAAAAAATAAGTAAATTAAATATTTCTAAAAAAGTCTAAAGAAAAAAAAAAAATTATACAGTGAGGACACATGATGATGAGGACACTCATCATCATCATGATGAGGACACTCATCTACATTAGATAGCTTATCTACATTAGTTAGCTTATCAATTTGTCTCACTCCTATATTCGCGTTTTAGGAAAAACAAGCCTTGGTGGTTTTATTATTATATTTAAGCATTGAATTTTTTTTGTGTTGTGCATTGTGTATAAAGCATTGTGACTAAAGTTAAGCATTGTGTATATTTTTCATTTTTTGCTATTTTAAAGACTTTTTTTCGATAGAGTTACAAGAGTAATTTGTAAATTTAAGTTTACAAAAAAAATAATCTTACATTAATGTCATTTTTACCTTATTAAATTCTGCTTCTATAAATACGCCTTGTAAAGTAAGTCTTCGATATTCAAGACACCTCTTTTGGACACTTTCGTTAACCCCATATAGCCCCATCAAATCACGCTATCTATATTAGAGAGTCTTTAATTAGCAAAAAAAAAAAAAAAAAAAAAAGATCTTTTTGATCTCATAATCTTTACTAAGTAGCGGTTTCCATAATTTGGTTAAAGAAAAAGATGACGGCACACAACTTCTATATTTAACCATTACCGCATAATGGCTCCATCATATTACATTTGTTCTCTAAGTACTCTTAACAATTCAAAGTAAGAAATAAAAAAAGAGCAGCTTAATCGTGCTAACTTACTTTTATTTTGAAACTTTAAATTTATAAAAATAATTGCAGGGGTTTGTGATAACACCAATAAATGATAGATCGTAATCTTTTTGCTTTCCAAACGGTGACATTAAAAAACATTCAAAGCACTGGCTTGCCGTCAATAGTTTTAGTTCACGTTTTTAAATGGTAAAAACCATAATAAAACTGTTTAAAATATGATTTAATGAAGTAAATAACATTAATTTGATAAAATTATATTTAAAACTTTACAAAGTTTTTTTTTTTAATTCATTCCTCTGGGTAACAGATTTGTTGAAATAAAAGTTTGGTAACTGACACAGTCAATTAAAAGCTATTGGTCGTTAAAAAACAGTGTTTAAATGAGCTTCTTTATATGAATAAACTTGTTATTTTTAAATTATTATTTTTTTTTTTTCAATTTATAATCTGATGAAATGACGCAAAACCTGTTTGTTAAGTTGCGACAAAATTCACGATTTGATCTTTCGCGCTTTTTGACTCGTTTATCCAACTATAACGCGAGTCTGATAATATACTCGTGACGTACAAAGCCTTTTAGCCAAAATATTAATTGCCTAATATTTTACCTGTTTAATAGGGCTGGAGCTTTTATTCTTGCATGATTAAAAATTAAATTTTCAAGCCCACGTAAAACTGAGAAAATTAATTTTTTGATCAAATGTTTTAGATTATTTGTTTGCTTATATTTTCTTTATACATTAAACTTTTATTTGAACTCTATTTCTAATCGTAACGGAATATTTTCTGAGAAAAAAAACTGTCGCCTATGATGATGTCATCAATATCTCACATAGCTATGATTAAAATTTAAGTTCTTCACGTTTTTGGTATTAAATGTATTCATATAATTTTAATACATTTATTTAATTGCCACAATTTATAACACAATATAATTTACAACTCTTTTTTTTTTAGTTTGTTGATATTAAATAAGCTTAAAAGAAAATCAATTCTACCAACAAACCTACATATAAAAGTTAAATAATTTTTAAATTATATTTTAAAACATATTACCTAATCATAAAAAACATTTTGTTTACACATTATTATTTGAAGTAAATAATTTAAAAAAAAAAAGTTTTTTTTTTTCGAAGCAAAAATGTTTTAACTGATACTTGATTTTATTAATTTATTTAAATAAATTT